ACCTTGGTACATGCTTTTTGTTGATGATATCCTTCTCGTGGATAAGACGAGAGAAAAAGCTCACGAAAAACTTGAATTATGATGGTCTACCTTGAAGTCTAAAGGCCTTTGTTTGAGTAGAACTAAAATTGAATACATGGAATGTAATTTTAGTAGTTGTAGCTCTAGTGACGGAAATGTAACTATGGGTGATCAAATTTTTAAAAGGTGTGAGCGCTTTAGAAATCTTAGGTCTATTGTTCAAAGTGATGGTGATATTGATGGGGATGTTATTAGTAGAATTCAAGCTGGTTGGTTGAAGTGGAGGAATGCTTTAGGCCTATTGTATGATAGAAAAGTATCACTTAGACTGAAAGGAAAATTTTATAAGCTGGTGGTGAGACCTGCAATGCTCTATGGTGCTAAATGTTGGTATTTAAAAGAGAAGCATAAAACTAAGTTAAGTGTTGCCGAGTTGAGAATGATTAGGTGGATGAGTGGCTTTACACTTAGAGACAAAATGCAAAATGAATATATATGTAATAGGGTTGGTGTAGCTTCAGTGACGGACAAAATTAGATAGAGTCGTCTTAGATGGTTTGGTCACATTAAACGACGACCATTTGATGATCTGATTAGAAGAGTAGATGTTTTGGATTCGACTTATGTTAAGAAAGACAGAGGTAGACCTAGGAAGACTTGGGCATATTGTATAAAATATAATCTTAATTTATTAGAATTAAATGAAAATATGACACTAAATAGGACACAATGGAGAAAAAGGATTCATGTAGCCTACCCCAATTATTGTGATATAGGTTTTGTTGTTGTTGATGTTGTTGCAAGTATTTCAAAAAAAAAAAAACAAAATAATTTTACTCATATTATTTTATTTTAATCTAAATTCTGATCCAACTGTAATGATTTTCTGCCTACCAATCATGATCACCAATCCTCCAATTGTTGGTCCATCTTCACTTGTGGCATTGTGGCTATTTTTCTCTTTCGTTCTCAATATTGTGATTTGAGAATCACCATCATTGGTTATTTCTAGGAAATCAAATGATTTAGAACAATCAGTTAACTCCATTTTCCAATCTCCTTTCAATTTGATGCCTAAATTGTGAGGAAGTTTTCTTCTTATGGACTGCTTTGTGGTGGACAATTTGATGGAATCCTTTTCATGATATGATTGTAAGTTCATTGCAACAGATGTTTAAAGGCAGTGTTTGCAAGCCACATGCAATGGCTCGAGCAACTGAGGGTTTTGGTCAACAAGGGTTGTAAGTTGATGATTTTTTATCTCAATTGATAATAGCAACTTCTGGTATACTGGCGAATGAGGTCAAGTTAGCATTGGAGGGTTCAACTTTGTTGATGTTAGCGAAGGATGCGACTTGATTAGTAAGGGAGGTGGAGGAGGTTACTTGATGTTTGCTAGGGAGGTGGCTTCACGTTGGCAAAGGGAGGAGACATTATGTTGGCAAGGAAAGCAACTTAGTGTTGATGGAAATTATGACTTGATGTCAGTTGACCAGGAAGTATATGTTGGAAGCTCAATATTGATTGCATTAGCTGATGATAGCAGTGACTATTGTGGCAGCTTTAAAATTTCATAGAGGAATGTCTTGATTTTGCCGACTTCATCTTTATTAATATAATGATGATCGTCCCTTGTTCAAGCTTCTATGTTGATGGACAAAATGCACCTTGATGCGTCTAATAAATGTAGTGAAATGGTTATTATCTCTATACTATTATACCCAAAAAATTGACAAACACCCTTTCAACGCTAGAGTTGAATCGCCAACCGGCCTCGATTTATTTTTGATGTGGTGAAATAGCTTTTTTGTTTATGGTCTTGAGAGTGCATCATCCTTCAATGGAGGTTGACTGCGATATTACTCCTTAATAACAATGTTCTTAGTGCTCCATTTTTCACCTTCATAAGAAAAAAAAGGACCTAGAAATGATTTGAAGCAACTTCAGGAAAGAAACCAGTCAATCAAGATTTTTGGATAGAGAGCTTTAAGGCCCTTGCATACGGATGATCTTCGACTATTTCTATCAATATCTTGCAAAGGCGGGAAGGCTTCTTACAGGCCACACCAAACTGTTATTTTTGAGATTTTGAGTCGGGAGAGTTTGAGTCGTTATGATCACCTTAGGTTTTGGATCTTATATGTAATCATGAAGTAAATAAGATAATCATGAGATGAGAGTTTTTATGTGAAAAATCCCATGAGAGAGAAATTATCAAGCTTTGCTTGGTAGAACACCTTCCACTATCGTAGAAACTTTTTTATGATTGGACAAACAATTACTATAATGAAAACTGATGAGTTGTCAACAATTTTAGTGTAGAATGGGGGACACTGTTGGTGATGCATGCATAATGCAAGCATCCATGATACGAATTAATTAGAAGTTGCAACTATGATTTTCGAATGAGTAGATTTAGGCTTTCCTTGTAGGTAGCTGTAATACGGGCTCTAATGCAAGTCATGAAAGTGATGGAATGCAACATAGATCTTCTCAATGATTGCTTGTGACACGTCTCTTAAATGTTCACTACAACTAATAGCGCAAATCTTGCGAACAATTATTGTTGCATGCATTAGGGTTCATACACAGGTCTTATGACATGACAACGGTAATGTTGGACTTGCAAGTGACAGTTGTGACAAAGGCGTCATGCAAATGCCGACAAGGTGGGGTTAATTTTTGATATTTCTAATGGAATTTGTTAGTCTTCATAATTGGAAAATCTCCTCTAATGAATTGAATGATGAGCTACTTACAAATTGCATAGTTCTTTATTAGAAATATTCCTAATAGTTACCAACTACAAACAATGAGATTGCACTCTCTTATCATCAAATCGTGATAAAACAATGCTATGATTGGTTTGATACATCCTATTGCTTGGACCTGAACTGTGGCCAGTGGTGTTTCTAATCCATGATTTGTGCAGTAATTATAACGGTTTGAAGTTTTGGCAATTGAATTGTTAAGAGTAATTATGGGAAGGTTTTTGGTTCCTTGATCAAAGGAATATATATAATTTTTTGTGTTTTTTTTATTGATAAACTCTTTGCCATTAGAGGATCTTTTTTGCTTTAAGCAAATTGAGAAATAGCGAAGAATGCAACACCAATGTCTAAAAAGGTGAAATCAGGAACTGAGGTATTTGATCTTAGCTGGCAAGATGCAAACCTCAAAATAGAGAAATAAGCTCATAAAATAAAAATTATTCATGAATATGATATAAATTATTGATATATTAATTTAATTTATGATCATAAATGTATGAACCACAAATTTCACTTTTAAATGTTGATATAAAATGGAAGTTTGTAATGAGTTTCAAACTAAGCAATCACTTAAAATTTAAATACATCATGAGGATCCCGATGATCTCATTCTGATTGTCATTTTCTTTAGAGAATTATCATATGTGATAAATTTTGTCATCATTTTATCTCTCTCATTGGCATCTTCCAAATCTTTTTCAATTAGTATATTTATTTTCTTGACCCTTATATTAATTAACATTAGATTCCATACAATTTAAATTAAAATAATAAATTAATAACACTATTAATACTTATAATGACTTTTGATCTTTTTGAGGCATTGTATTAGATATATTAGATATAACTATAATATAATATGATATAATATCACATCTATTAATAATATAATAAAACATATTGTAATATTTTTAACCTAATTTGATTGAACTGCCGGCATTTTTTGTGCTTCTCGATTTGAGGCATGCGCTTATAATACCTTTTTTAACAAGGTGATGCTCAAGGGATTTTGGAAGCCCAACTGTTTTGCAATGATTTACACCATTTTCAATCATGTTGAACAAAATAATGTGTTGGCAAATTGTGAGCTAGTGGGGGCAGCCTTGACAGGTCCTTGGCTGCGAGCAGTAGAGAAAACGACAAAACTGCTACCGCTTTGGTTTTTGGGTATGGCCTTTTAACGGCATGGGATGTCACAGGCGTGGTTAGGCTATTAACTTGAAGCAGGTAGTCTAGATCTTACAGAGTTGATTTGGATAATTCTGATTTCTAATGATCAGGTGTGACCAATCCGACCTTGAATGGGGCTGCCATTGCATCATTCTGAACCATTTAGTTAAGGTTTATATTTCATGTATACTTGGATTGGTTATTAAAAATTCTGTTTGGTGCCAACTTTACTTTTTGCTGCTGCAAGTTTTTTTCCTTCTTTTAAAGCAAAGTATTGATTTACTAAATCTGGTATTGTGGAACTGCTGAACTAGCAATTGAACTTGGTCCTCTATAAGTAACTCTCTTTTAAATAATATATGATGCATATTGATCGGAAATCATAAATCATTTCTAGGAAGCAGGGACATCGAAGGTGCTTCATTTAAATATATTGCTGAGTTCTTCTCTTCTTAACATTATAACACGAGTCATCCCATTTTAAATTCTTATTTTTCACATTGATTCATATGCGGTCTTTTCCTCAATATGTAGTCTTGTTTGCAGATTTTTCCTTCATTTGTTCCTGTGCCACAATTATTACTAGGCATTGGTTTCTAGATTTCATTTTATAAAATCATATGAACTTGCTAACCTCAATTCCATTTGAATTTGAATTGCATTTACGCCTCTTGTTGCTTATCTACCGGCGCCTAGGGCAATTTAATCTTTTATTTATTATTATTATGGGGTATAAATAGGGCTTATTATGCCTAGGATTGGGTTGTGCTACCTCTCGAATTGTAGGTGTTAAGGTTAGGGTTTGGGAGAGTTGATCCACCTCTTGAATTGTAGATTATCCATTATATCCTATTTGTTTGCTTGGAGATTAATCAAGTTGCCCTAATTTTAGCTTTCCCACACATTTCTTGCAATTTGTTCGCTGATTTTTGGCTCTATATCATATTAGTTTCGTTCATGCTATTCTTTTGCATTTTGTGCTCACTGAACTGGTTTTTGTGACATTATTCTGTTATAAAATTAATACATGTTTTTCAGTGCTTGAAAAAACCGGAACGCAAAATTTTGCCAGTATTTCATCATCAAATAGCGGCGAGATTTCTACAGTTACCCCTGTTCCTCAGGCCCCACTTCCACCCCCACCATCGTACTTGTAAGCTTAACTCAACTCTGAAGATTTATGCTTCTGTAAATATTTTAAGGAAAGAAAATTTATTAATATAAATGCTCTACCTAATTCACACTGAGCAACACAGCGGTTCACCTCTTTTCTGGGTTGGAGTTGGAGTTGGGCTGTCAGCATTATTCTCAGTGGTGAGTTTATATTGTTCTCATGCCTATTATCCTTTGTGTTTGATAAATCATATGATCAATAGTTAACATCTTCTGTGATATCCAATTAACTATTGTTTATTTGTCAGGTGGCTACCAGAGTTAAGGTGAGTTTCAATCCCATGCCTCAGATTTTTCAAGGCATGCTACATAAATTTGGCTATAGCTGGTAACTGAATTTGGCATGCTACATAAATTTTTCTATTGCCGGTAACTGAAGCACATTTAAGAGTTATAGGAGCGCCACCCACTTTTTATAAGGTTTTGTTCAACTATATAAGATTATTGTTAATGGTACACCTTTTGTTCTGGTTAAAGTATCTGTTCTAGATGTTGTAGACTGGTTCATGAGTGCTATTGTAATATTTTCCTGCTAACATGGTCTCATTCCTTTATAAATAAAAATTGGTTTAGAATGTTTTTTATTATTTGAATTATAAACCAATATTTGAAACTGTGGGACTTAGCCGAGAAGATTGTCTTAATGCGATTATTTTTTTCAGATTATACTCTTCCTTATACATCATCCACCATCTTCATAGCGAGTTTTGATAAGTTGATTTCTTTTTTATATCTATCTAATTATTGCATATATTTTTCTTATTTCTTCTTGTATTTGGTTTGTTTGTTTATTTAATAATTTTTATTTTGCAGGAGCTGGCATTCCATTGTTTGCTTGTAAACCCAATGTTTGGCTTTGCCTCACGTTTTTATGTTGTTTTACTTTCAGAAAGAGGGCTAGGATGTAGATTCAGGGCTTATTTGGTCGTTTTTTTATAGTGAGCTAGCTGGTTTAAAAGCTGCTTTAGAGAAATTAGAGTTTACTGTTGCTGCAGCCAAAGCTGATAATGCTTTTTGGATAAAAGGTCATCTATTTGCTTTGTGAAACTGAAAAATAATTTATTCTGTTTGGTTAAACTATAGCTGTCATTTTTTTTTTCGATATAAAAGCTTAAAAATTAATATATATTAAAAGGAAAAAAAAATATAAATTTGAAAAAAAATTCCTACAGACGTCAAATATATGCAAAATTTTTATGAGCACAAATTTTTTTCATTTGAGAAAAGGTTGATGGGATAGAAGCAGTAGTTGTGTTTGTGAGATTGTGTGGAGATGGGTTATTTTGACTGTGCTCTCAATCAAAGTGCGGACCATTTTGAGAAAATACTTAGGGAATGGTTTTTGGAATGATACAAAAATGGAGTTTTGAATGAGGTTTTATTTGAATTCTCAGGCTTGCCTTTAATTTATAATGAACACTCAAATTCAGATATCTACCAATGAGCACATGCTCAGTTAGTTTGCATTTACTCCGTGTATAAATATTATTTGCATGCACTGATGACAAAAATGACACATGCATAGCCTGATCACCCTAATTGTTTTTACATCATCATTAGTTGTTCAATACATGCAGCCATTTTGCCAAGTTTTGGGCTATTTATTCTTGAAATAAGTGTGATGCTCAAATGACAGCAGGTTCTTTCGAAATACCGGAAGCCACCTAACCTTGTAGGTATTGTTTGCTAAGCTTAGCTTTTGATTCGAGAGCAAATTTATACAATTGTGTATCTGCTCCAATCTGGCCTACACTTACCCCATTCTTTCTTTTAAACTATTTTGGGCTAGATTCTTTGCCAATAGGATTGGTTTGACCAGGTCAGGCCTTCATATTTAACATTGCAAACCGTATAGAAGTGAGTTTGTAATTTCTATCGAGATGGAATCTGTGATGTATCAATGCTTTAAATGTGGGCTGATATACACAAAGTCCAAATAGTTTCTTCTTTAGTCATAACTCGTAGCACCTAGTCCAATTTCATATTTTGACTCTCTTGAGTCTCTATTGTGTCATATGTTGCAACCCCATCAAATAAAAAAGCACGTATTTGCATATGCAACCCTATATTTAGAGCTAAATTCTAATATGGCAACATAGAAGTGTGAACATGACTAGTTTGAGCAAGCTTAATCTACTTTCTAGTTTGGCTTATTTGATTTTTGCTTCGTTTGAACTTGACTCATTTTTTATTGTCTGATAATTTTGTTCTTGTTTCATTAGTTTTAGGCTTCTTAGGCTAGCGTTTGTTTCAAATTATATGAAATTTTTTGCTTTCAACGATCACTTTCAAACATTAAGTCATACATAAATCTTGAAATTTAAAATGGAAAGGGTGGAGAGTAAAAAATGAGAGATTATATGACTTAATTTTATTTTTTTGTTGTGGGTGAAAAATAGGACTAAGTTTTACATAAATAAATAAATAAAAAAACTATTGAAGAAAGAAATAAATTTAAAAATTAGTCGTTAATTATAGAATTTGGATTTAACTACACAGTTAAAATGGAATATTACTGTTCTTGGATTGTTTGTAGCTGGAAAGCTATTATCTACCGAATTTTGGATCGCTGTATATAGTAAGCTTGTGCCCATTGCTATTTGGATTGTTGTAGATATTAAGTTACCATTCGTGGATTATTGGGTTGCTATTGATGGAAAAATGTTTTTCATAGATTTTTGATTTTATCAACACTTTCTAAAATTGTGTTGTTTTTGCTGATCATGCCCGACTTTTTGATTAGTTTATCAAAACTCAATTTTTGTAATGCTTTGGTGAAGATACTTACAATTTGAGAGTTTGTTGAAGCTTAATTTAGTTGGGATGGGATAATTGATTTTCAATTCTTTTTGAGATGAATTATTGATCTATCTTAATATGTATAATCATATTTCATGTGTTGACCTCATTTTCAGGTGGGGTCTTCACTTCTCTTCTTAGAGTCTAGGGTCTAGCCTTAGGCTTCTCTTGTTTGACCCTCCTAGAGGACTAGTACGGGATTCACACCATTTAGAAGATTCGAGCCACCTTGTCATTCCTTCGAGTCTCGTATGGGCGGTCCTGACTCATCGACATTTTGCTGAGTTGGTTAGAATCGACATATGAAACTCGAGTTGAGCTCCTACATTAATAGGAGCAGCCCCTAGGGAAACCTCTTGCCACTCGAATGCTCACTAACGCCGCATTTGGCACATGCATCACACCACTCACAATTTTGACTTGAAATGAATTGCCCGTCGGCGAATTCGTCCGGACCACCCCGGATGACGAAACGGACCACACGATGTGTTCGAGACGTCAAATTTAGCTAAGAAGGACACTCATATCATTGTGGTTCTGCGCGCGAGCAATTAGTATGAAAATTGATGCACATTTTTTTAATTAGGGGTAGCGGGTCCACACTCAACCCAGGTTCAACTCGGGTTCGTGTTGGGCTGAACGTGGGCTAATCACCCCAGCTCACATAATTCAAAATTCAAAATTTGAAATTCAAATTAACCATTTAATCTCACATTAATTAAATTAATTTTGAAATTATCATTTACCTAATAAACATTCCCTCGCATGGAAGGTATTTAATTTCACTCCTAATGCCTGTAACGGATACTCATGTTTATACTAATTCACCCTGCTCCTTCGATGGATTAACTGTGGAAAGAAAGACTATGGATTGCAGTTGGAAGAGAGTGCTTCTAAAGGACAATTTCTCATTAAATATATTGGGGAGGTGCTTGATTTAGCTGCTTATGAAGAACGGCTTAGATATTATGCTTGTAGAGGTCATATGCATTTTTATTTTATGACGTTGAATGGTGGTGAGGTGATAGATGCATGCTCTAAGGGGAACTTCGGTCGTTATGTCAATCAGAGTTGCGATCCTAATTTCGGAGGACTAAAAAGTGAACTGTACCTAGTTGGAGAGGTTTTGTCACTATTTTGAAAGGTTTAAGGGTACCTTTTGAAGAGTTACATAATTACAGTTTGAGGACTTTTAAAATTGCTTTTTGGAGTTACCGATCGTGGTAAGATGTTGCGGGAAACTTTAGGGTGCTGTTTGAAACTTCGAAATTGCTGTGAGAGCTGTAGGGTGCTGTTTGGAACATCGAAATTGTTGTTTGGAGTAGTCAGGGGCTGTAGGGTGCTGTTTGGAACTTCCTAGTTGCTGCCCGGAGCCGTAGGAGGTCTTAGGATCACCATGTAAACTTGCTAGTTGCTGCCTAGAGCTGTAGGAGGCATTATGATCATCGTGTAGGCTTGCTAGTTGCTGCCCGGAGCTGTAGGAGGCCTTAGGATTGCCGTGTAGGCTTGCTAGTTGTTGCTCGAAACTGTAGGAGGCCTTAGGATCACTGTGTAAGCTTGCTAGTTGCTGTCCGAAGCTGTAGGAGGCCTTAGGATCATCGTTTAAGCTTTGCTGCCCAGAGCCGTAGGAGGCCTTAGGATTATCTTTTAGGCTTGCTAGTTGCTGCTCGGAGCCGGAGGCCTTAAGATCACCGTTTAGGCTTCCTAGTTGCTGCCTGGAGTTGTAGGATGGCTTAGGAGCATCGTTAGGAGTTCCTAGCAGCTTTCCAAAGTTGTAAGATGCCTTAGCATCACCGTTGGGAGTTCCTAGCTGCTGTTTAGAGTTGTAGGAAACCTTAAGATCACCTGTTTGGAGTTTTAAGCTGCTGTCAAGAGTTGTAAGAAGTCTTAGGAGCGTTTTTCAGAGTTTCTAGCTGTTGTTATGACTCATTTTGCTGCTTTTTACATTAAAATTTCTGTTTTCTCCATTTTCCTACAAATTTATTTAAATTCTCTACAAATTATATTATGTTTTATGAGCTAATCACACAACGGGAACAACAACAACAAATACGCCAAGTACGCATGTATATTTTGTTTTTTGTCATTTTTATCACTGCAATTTTCTCTTGCTTTAATGTATTATGCATGTCTGGTTGCAACAACATTTTCAAAACAAAAGAATTTTTAAAATTCAATAATATTTTCAAAACAAAATAATTTTAAAGAATTAAACAACATTTTCAAAACAAAATAAGTTTCAAAAGAAAATTAAAATAACATTTTCAAAACAAAAATAAAAACATAATACGTACTTTTGAATTTACGGGAGTCCCTCAGATGACGTAACCCACGGAGATGACCTAACCCACGGTTGCTAACGAAATCTCTCCAGTTTAAATGAGCTTAACAACTCATTTGGACTAAGTAAATTCAAAAGAAAATTGTGGTACCGGAATGAGAAAACCGTGAGATCCTAACCGATGTT